GTGAAAACTATGCAGGGAGAGGAGTTAGTGAAGATGGTACGAAGGGAAGTAATAGGGAGAATATGGAATGACTATAATAGGCCCAGGAGTTTTTATATGGAGGTAACTTAATTTGTAGTGGGCTGCTGAATTCAGGACAAGCTTCTCTGCTCTTGCTGCATCTCATACTCCAAAGGGTGCTGTTTGCCAGTCGCCTGGAGATCACCAGTAGTCCTGTGCAGCTGATCAGAGAAGCAAAACCATTTGATGTAAAAGCCATAGCAGACAGCTGGAGCACCACAGTGGTTCTGTGCACTGATTACTGTGGCGCTGCATACCTCCAGGTATCCTGCAAACCCTTGTCTTTGCTGGAGAGCCAGGAGCCAAGCCCTGCAGTGCTTCCAGGTTCTATTGCAGTAGGAACAGCTTGTGACCAGGAGGTGTTTTTTCTTTTGGGGAATCTTTCATAACAGAGAGGAGGAGGCCCCTTTTCTGGGAACTGTAAAATCAGTCCTTTGAAAGTATGAAAGCAAATATCCTGGAGGTAACCCAAGCTGGGTGATTGGAGGTCCTGTATGTCAGTTAAGAACCTGCGTGAGAGGTCAGACCTCACTGTCTGCTCCTCCCAGCAGATGTCTGGAAAGTTTAGGTCACCCATGACGACCACATCCTTGGACCTAACTATCTCCATGAGCTGACGTAAGAATTCCTGGTCTCGATCTTCTCCTTGGTTGGGTGGCCTGTAGTAGACCCCCACCGTTAAGTCCCTTTCTCCCCGATCCCCTTGTACTCTAACCTAGAGCACTTCCGTTTGCTCCTCCTCTGACCCAGTGATACACATTGTGGATGTGTGTTGGTCCTTGACACAGAGCGCCACACCCTCACCCTTCCTACCTGTCCTATCTTTCCTGTAGAGCCTGTAGCCCTTGATATTCACTGCCCAGTCATGTGCTGGGTCCCACCACGTTTCGTTGAGCCCCACTATGTCTGGGTTGGTGCTGGCTAGCAGGAGGACTAGTTCCTCCTGCTTCTTCCCCATGCTGCGGGGAAGAAGAGGCATTTGAGGCCTCCTGAGGATGAATGGGCCGCCCCCCTAATCCCAGCGGTACCCAGGCCCATGTCACTTATCTGATTACCTGTTTCTCTTGTCATCGGTTTAGGCTGGGCTGCTCCTGCAGGTGATGTTTGGCTTGCTTGTCTGAGGCTTCCTCCGCCCACGTCATCCCCTTCCCCCAATAAGCCTAGTTTAAAGGCCATCGGAGGAGATCCTGGTTGACTACATCATTATAGTCTTTGCTACAATGATGGAAAATTATGTCCCCCACACAGCCACACTATCTTTGGGGTCTTTTGACCTGTCTAGTCTGAACGCCCACAAGGAAAGAGCGTGCCACCCCCCATGGAGACTTCTTGGCAGCTGATGTGGCTCACGCTGATCAGCAGAGAACTGGCTGCCATCCCTGCATGAAAGAGCCCATGGATGTGGCTGTTTATGGCGTTACGTTCTTCTCTCATGCTGCCTGTGGCTTTCTGGGCTTGCAGTGAGTCCAAATGCCAGGTCCGCATATACGAGTCTGTCCCAACGGAAACATGTCATAGCACTGGAAAAGGAACCAGGCACTTTTCAAGGGGGCTGGGATTCCCTGAGCACCAATGAAAGTCCCTGCCAGCCCATTATGCTCCTGTTTTTCCTGTCAAGGGTTAGTGAAATCAATGGGCAGCCCATGCATTGACTGCAAGGAACCTGGGTCCAGAGCACCATGCAGTGCAGGCTCTTGAAGCCAGGACACGTGAACATTTCCTGTGGGTTAAAAGGAGGTGGGGGCTTTCCTATATAGCAGTTTATTCTGTGGTAACCCCCCTCCCACATGCACCCACCATGTGCCCACTCTCATGCAGTGGCAGCTGCCTGCGTGTCCTTAACCATCCGTGAACCAGGACTAAGATAAACCAGTCTGGCTTTCACATTACTCTGGATAATCTCAGGCATCAGGGCATTTTCCCTGGTCCAGTGAATCCCTCCCAGCCTCTACATCCATGCCTTGAAGTCCTCTGCAAATACTGTATTTCCTAGCATGCAACAAAGACCTTTCCCACCCCCTCTACCAGCCAAGAATTGGGTGGCGGGTATAAAGTGGGGGTGTCTATTATTTTCCCCCAATATCAAAGCACCCGGCCTTGATCCCTGCTGCATGGTAGTTGTGCTGTTCCTCTTCAGGCAGCTGAGGGAGTTCACGGCCCCTTGCTCTTCACTGCACAGGGGTTAACAAGCATCTCTCCCTTTCCATGGTCACTGCACTACTGACCTAGCCTTGAAGGGCAGTTTTGCTGTGTGCTAAGGCATCTGGTCTCTGCTCCTATTTCACATTGCTTTAGACCAGTTCAAGATCAGAGGTCCACCCTTGGAGATGAGGCTTCCTCTGCAGCTTCGATCTTAGTGAAGCAGGAACTAACTCTTCATAGGCGTAACACATCGGTGAGGTCATTTGTGCCAATTAAACACTTTCCCAGGTAGGGATCCAATGCATAATTACCAGGCAAGCACTTATAGGTGTGTGACCCCTCGGGCCATGGTAACGTCACACGACTAATTGCATTACATACATAACAGTAGTGAAGCACCAAAACAATTGAGTCAGGAGTCAGGGGAGATTTGCACCTTATAAACTAACTACATCAGGCCTCAGCTTTCGTAAGCAGCAGGCTGACTTCAGTCAGGGGTCGTGGAAGGACTGCAGCACACCAAGCTTATAAATAGAGAGAAATGATCAGACTACAAAGGGCAAATCACCTTGGGGAGGAGGTGACACTGGGGGAAGAGAAATGCTTAAATGAAATCAAATCATGCAGTGAATAAGAACCCAAGAATAAAAACAGAGTCCCTGGTGGTTCATCTGCATTTCCACCCTTTACTTCCTCCTCCGTTCATTGCTGCCAGCATCAGCTTCCGGGGATTTAGGCATCTTGTCCTCCCCAGGGGGAGGTCTCCTCGGGGCCAGTCTGAGCCCCCCTGTGCAGGCTACAGCACTACCCACACTGCTGCCTCCTCACCCCATCACAGCAAGGCGTGTGGGGGTACACATGAAGCTCCACCCGCACATGAGCATTTGCAGCAAGACATGTGGCTGGCAGCAAGTGGAGCTCCCTTCCCAAATGGCATCTCTAGGAGTCTGTGATGGATGCGGGCTGCAGCCAGCCCCACTGCCAACACCCCCAGATCTCCCCCCACACTTGGCCCCTCCATGCCAAATACCAGCTCCAGAACCAGTGCAGCTGCAGGACTTGGCTCCATGCAGATGGGAACATGGATGCCATGACCCCCGTGTGGGCACCCGTGTGTCTACCTGTGGGGCCTGACCCTCCTTCCAGGGACCCTCGTCCCAGGGACCTTTGTCCTGATCACTGTGAGGCCTCACTACCCGGGCAGCCTGGCATAAAGTGACCTTCACTGAGCTCAAGATCTGTCACGTGCATGGGTCTCTGCTCTGGGCTCTGGCCCCTCCATTGTCAGCTCACGTGGTGTTTTGTTGCTCTCAGATCTGCAAAGCAAACAGCGGAGCAGCCCTGTTGGCCTGCAGTTGCCTGAAGGGGCTCTCTGTTTGGGCAAGACAAGAAGTCCAGCCACCTTTCCGCAGCTCAGTGCAGCCTCCCTGGCCCTGACACTTGCATCCGATCCGAGCAGAAACCCTGCCCTTTGCAGAAGGCCATGCACATCACTTCAACACTACTGCTGCCTTGGGGATTGGCCTCTCTGTCCTGATACCTCCCACTCCTGCAGCTCATCCACTTTGAGGACACATTCAGCAAGAATTCAAAATCAATGTTGTGTGAGGGACACTGACAGGACTGACCACAGGCCCCATGGTTGCTGCGCATTCAGATCTCCCTTTGCCTGGTCTAGGAGTTCAAGCACTGCGCCTACTTCTGAGCCCCATTGCCCTGCTGGGTGGGTGTCAAGGAGCTTTGATGCCTTTGAGAATCTGGTCCAGAAATGCTTCTTTAGGAGGCTGCCTATTGCTGATAGAGGCAGGGCTGAAACCATAGATCACCAGGCTGCTGAAGCACAAGCCAGACCTGAGCGTGAGCTGGGTGCCATTCTGGTGTATGGAGGTCATCCAGGGCTACAAACCCTGCCTGAGAAGCTAGTTAAATCCTCAGGTGGGTCGTTCGAGATACTCGGAGCATAGCACAGGTAGCCTGGACCCTCAGACCACAACTAGCTGAGAGTTCAAAGCTGAAGCTACTACCATAAAGACCCACCTCTGGATCATAATTCTGGGCCCTTTTGGACTTATGATGTACTGCATCCCCCAAAATGGAGAAGAGTGTTTATTCTAAATATTGCATCTAGATTCTCTTACCAAAAGTCTTCCATGAACACTTCTTCACCCATAAGGAAAAGCTGGCATTTTTGGGGGTTTTATTTTTTGGTCAGAAGGCTACAGAGACAAGGCTGGTGCACACAGCCAAGGGCAGGGGTGGACAGTAGTACAGAGTAGATGCATCTTGTTAGTGCAGATAACGATAGCAGGGAAAAGGCCGTGGGATGAGTGCACTCAGAGCCTGGTAGCTGGCATGTGAGAAACCCACAGCGCAGCATCCTCCCAGCTCATGTGGGAGTGCAGCACAGATACTCCAGCACAGGTTCCTGTCCAATTGTGGGCTGGACACAGGCCCAGCTCCCTGGGGATTGTCTCTTGTTCCCTGATTGCCGAACAGCTCAAGAGTCCACGTGATGTCCCTCCACAGGGGACATTTACAGCTGGGAATTTAAAGGGGAAAAAAAAGTGAAATTGAGGTTTGTCTTCAAATGTCCCATGATGGGGGGAAATGTTCCACCTAATTGCTACAATGATAGAAAATTATGTCCCCCGCTCTGAGCCAGGCTCATCTTTGGGGTCTTCTGACCTGTCCAGTCTGTGTTTCCCCCCATGGAGCCTTCTTAACAGCTGGCATGGCTCACACCGATCAGCGGAGAACTGAACACCATCCCCGCATGAAGGAGCCCAAAATGCGGCTGTTCATGGTGTCATTTTCTTCCCTCTTGCTGCCTGCTGCTTTCTGGGCTTGCGGCATGTCGGTGGCTTAAGCTCTAAGTCTGCGTATATGAGTCCGTCCTGCTGGGAACATTTCAAAGCATTGGAAAAGGAACAAGGCACCTCTGCAAGGAGGTTGGGAAATCCCTGAGCCCCAGTGAAAGAAAGTCTACTCCTGTCTTTTATGCTCCTGCTTTCCCTATCAAGGCTTAGTAAAACCAGTGGGCTGCCCCAACATCAACTGGAATGAGGTGGGGGCTGACCCAGAGCACCATGTGTGGTAGGATACCATCTCTGTCTCCCCCCAAACTCTGCTGTCTCACAATTTGGTTACCAGGGTCACAGCAGAGGGCAGACACCTCTGCCCCATCAGCTTCAGGTAACCCTGAGTTGTAACCTGAGTCAGGATACAGTCCTGACGGAGGGGGGAAACCTGCTCCCTCTGCCTACATGACTGACCTTACTTCTCTTAGCTGGGTTGGGGCTTAAACTCCCTATTGTTCTAAGCAATGTCTGCATGACGGGGGGGGGGCTAGAGCCCCTGCCAGTCTACCTGGCAACCAGTGATGGATTTCAAATTGGTTTGCTGGCAGCCAACAGTTGCTGGCCTTCATTGGATCAGGTAAATGAGGTCATAGGGGCTATATAAGTGAAGGACTGCCCAGGAGGAGGGGCAGTAGCCATGATGAAAACTCTCAGAGAAGCTGGACTATATGTAACTTGCTCTCTCTCTTGAAACTCATGATCAATGAACTGCCTGCCTCCAGAGGGAATCTCCACCTGCCTCTGGATGATACTTGTGAGTAAGCTACTTGAGATCTAACTAGATATATAGCTTGCAGTAACACAGATGCGTAATCAAAGGCTGCCATGCCACTATGTGCTCCAAGGTATTTCTCTGATATTGCTCTACCCTGTACCCTGTTCCAAACCTACTCCTTGTAGCCAATAACATTCTCCTTTGTACCTGGCATAGCATACTTATTGGGAGAAGGTCTAGATTATGCCTTGGGGTCCCCTTGGTTCGGCTGACTAAGGGAGACCACCATTTGTGCTTCAGGCTGAGGGAAGCACCCCACGTTTTTGCAGTGGGTCAAGTACCCTCAAGGACTACTAGGCCCGTGTTTCCCAGGGGGCATAGGTCCAAGATCAGCCCAGCCTCTGGGTGGAGGCAGCGTTACCCCCAGGCTTGCGAGTATGCTCCAGGAAAGGGGTTGGCCAGATGAGAGGCGCTCCCAGGGAGGCACTCAGACCCTGGAAGGTGTTCGGGCGCAGTGAGCGGGTGGCTCAATGCAGAAGCACCCCCTACTGGCCCGCCACCCCATGTAGTGCAGGCTCCTGGAGTCAAAACACATGAACATTTCCTGTGGGTTAAAACAAGATGGGGGCTTTACTACACATCAGCTTGTCCATGGTAACCCCGCACTCCCCTCCACCCCATGTGTCCACTCTCAGGCAGTGGTAAGTAGAAGCTGCCTGGGTATCCTTATTCCTCAGGTAAACCCTTACGGTTTACCCTAAGGTAAACCAGTCTGACTTCCATGTACCCTGGGATATGCACAGGCACACGGGCACTTCCCCTGGTCCAGTGAAGATCTGCCAGCCTCTACCACCCACTAAGCAGTTGACACATCCACATCTTCAAGTGGTCTGCAAACACTGCATTTTCTAGCATGTAACACACACTTTTTCCCTGAAGCCAGCCCAGAACTGTGGTGCGGGTAATAAGTGGTGAAGCTGATTCTTTTCCCCAAGATAGAAGTGCCCGGCCTTGATCCCTGCTGCCCAGTAGCTCTGCTATTCCTCTTCAGGCAGGTGAGGGAGGTCACGGCCCCTTGCTCTTCACTGCACAGGGGTTAACAACCATCTCTCCCTTTCCATGGTCACTGTGCTAGTGACCTAGCATCTGAGGGCAGTTTTGCTCTGTGCTAGGGCATCTGGTCTCTGCTCCTGTTTCACACCTCTTTAGATCTGTTCAGGATTAGAGGTCCACCCACAGAGACCAGGCTTCCTTTGCTGGTTGGGGGTTAGTGAAATAGGAAGGGGAAGCTCTGTCTCTGGTCTCTGCAGCCACAACTCTGGGGAAAACATTACTTCAAGATGCCTATTAAACACAAGGTGCCTGTTATATTCAGGAGTGTGTTATATGTGAGAAAATCCAGTCCCCTCACTTATTTAAAGGATAATCATGGATCAGGGTCCATCCAAGACCAAAAGAGAGTCTTAAGTTAGTGTTTGATATTCCTAACACCCAAAGGAAAGAGGTCTTGTTGGCTTTGCTTCTGCACACAGGGATAAAGCAATTAAAATGACTATACCAGGGACCTGCAGCCTGCAAGTGGCCAGGCCAAGATAATACCTGGTCTTAAACTGCACTTCCCAGAATAAGTCAATCCATGCGAGTGAGTGAAGTGCTATGAAGATGGACCTACAGACAGGCCCACCAAGGTGGACAGCAAGGCTTCATAATAGGCTGTACCTGATTCTGCTGGGAGATGCGAGGTACTGGCTTCCTGGACCAGGATCCTGAAATGGAGACAGTGGTCATAGCTCCTCTTCCACTGCCGTGCACCCACGTACACAGGGCTGAGTACATGGACACGTCCCCGATGCAAAGCCTTGTGCCCTGCATGACTCACGCACCCTGGGCTCAGGCTGTCTGTGGCGGGGGCCTGTCTACATCGCTCCCTGGGGGCAGAGCTCAGAGCCAAACTCCAGGCACAGGAGAAGCCTTGGGGCCTGTGACGGCTGCAGCCTGGTCGTCCCGCACAGGTGAGCCCACTGGGGATGCCCAGGGAGTGTCTGGGGGCCATGCACTGTTTCTTACCCCATCTGGGAGGGCAGCAGATCCAGATGAGACTCAGGGGCACCGTGAACAGCAGCAGGGCACTGCCCACTGCCACGACAGAGAACATGACGCAGGATGTGGAGGGAGCTACAAGGGAAAGACAAAAGCCTCATGCCAATGGTCTTGCCCTGCTCCACACTGCATGAGCAGGGTCCCGTGGTCCCAGGATTAGAGAGAGCTGCTCTGTGTCCCCAGTGCTACCCCTCGCCATGCCTCACTTCCTAACCTGCAAAGCACTGCCAGCATTACCAGTCCTTGTAAATCCCTCAGAGACTTCTGGATGGAAGCTGCTAACTAAGATCTGGGGATTTGTTGTATCTAGTCCTCACAGTCCATCTGTCTCAAGAAGAATGGGGCTGCTCCCTCCTTACTGAGCTGCTTCCCGTTCCTGGGGACAGTGGCGATGCGTAGGAGGTGCATGTGCACCCCCTGAGAGCACCAGTGCACCCCGTGACCGACCACATTTACTGCTTAGATGATGGATGGGGGGGCAGGCAGGAGCACCAGTGCCACCCCTGCAAGCACTGGCCGGAGAGTAGAGCACTGTTGTGCTCCCAGAAGCAGCCGCAGAGATGAGCCATCTCACAATTGGCTGTGGGGGAATCCCCCCCCCAGTCGTTGGATGGCTGCTGAGGGGGCATGTCCCCCCACAACTAAGGTGGCACCAGTCGCCCATGCCTGTGGACAGGATTTTCCTGGCATGCTCTGCCATCTCCAAGACTCTCCCTGAACCATTCCCCTCATCCCACAGCCCCTCCATCCCTTGAATTATCCATGCCCCTGCTCTCATCCATTGAATGGCTCCTAACTCCTCTCTCCCCTGTATATTATCATTAAACTCTTCACAGAGGTGTCTGAGATGGCTTCTGCCTTGTCTTATGCCCCAGGAACTGTTTCTGGCCACCTTCCCCCAAATTCCCTGCACATCTGCCTGCTTGCAAGCATAACATGATTGTCCACCTTCTATCATACGCATTGGAAGCACAACTGATTGCAGGGGCTTCACACATACGTTATATCATAGCCTTAAACATGGAACCACTCACGTGCAGAATACACGGCATGTCTGGTAACACTGCTGCCAGACGAGTTGAATGTGACCTCACAGGTGATGGCTGCCCCACGGGCCCAGCTGGCCCAGGGGATGCTGATGCCATGGATGAGTGTTAAGGACCCATCACTGGCTTCCAGTGTGCGCTGCAGTCTCTGGGCTGGCTCCTCTCCTAGAACGTGCCAGGACACCTGGACGAGGTTGGAGACGCCCCGGATCACACAGGCCAGATGTGCAGGCTCCGTGGCTCCGTTCTCCCCTGCAACAGGGCCCAGGAGCAGCACGGAACTGCTGTTGGTGAAGCTGTCTGGGCAGAAAAGAAAGTGAGAGCTTAAGGGGAGACAGAGCTGAGCTGCAGCCTGGCCACAGCTGTGGGTCCATCATCAAGAGATTAACTGAGATAAAAGTCTATTAGGGGATAAGGAAATGTGCCATCCCCGGCCAAGCTGGGAAAAAGGAACCAGCCCAACACACAGCCATCCTAGCCAGAAGAGAGCCGGGCAGCCTTCTGTGGGCAGCACTAGCAGCTTTGGGAGATCACAATCTTGTCACCCGCCATCATAGCTTGGAGGGAGAAACATTCGCATCCTGGATACACAGACCAGCCCCACAGAGACCCCAGCACTTCCCTGCACCAATTCCTACATTTCCCCTGGGGAAGAAAGACTGCATAGCCCATTCTCTCTCTCGGCCCCCAGCAGCTAATGCTGAACCCATTTTTCCTGGCTAAAAACACAGCTTCTTTTAAGCAATTACTCATATTAACTCTTACAGGTTTTTGTCAGTTATTGTAACTAAAGAAGCAATGGGTCATTACCTCCTACGATCACCGTGGTTCCATTTCCAAAAGTCAAGTAGGTGGGCTGTTCATATGCACAGTAATATATGCCAGACTCCTTCCTTTGGATGCTCCTGATTTCCAGAGTTGTGCTGTGACTCTTGTACTTGCAATCATATTTGTTCACATTTTTAGTATCTCCACACGCCATAATGTGCTTTGGAGCCTCGCCAGCCCTTCTCAGATACCACTGCACATAATGTCTCCCTTGCAAATCCTCGCTGGAGGAGCAGTGGATCTCTGCTGTCCTACCAGCTTCCACAACCAGGAACCGCTGAGGCTGGTGCAGATGTAACTGGACTCCCAACACTGTGGAAACACAACGGGGCAATCGTCAGCTTCCAGCAGGTCTCAGGCTCAGGTGCTCCTCATGTCTCAGGACTAGAAATCATATGCTGTTAATACTTCTGCTTTCCAGGCAGCCTTACAGCAGCATTATAACAACCCCTCTACAGCTACCTCCAACACCATGAAAAGGTATTTGCAATCCAGCCCAGAGCCCAGCACTGAAATCTGTCCTGCTGAGGATGTTACTGTCCCCAGTAACAGAAGTGCGGTGCTGAGAGCCATATGGTGGGTTTACCTAAGGATGAGAGAAGCAGGGACTTGGCGAGGAACATGTTGGCCATGAATATTCTGCCCTTCAAGCCCTAGGGCTGCCGTCTAAGTGCAGAGCTGCAGTGCAAGGGCTCAGGGCTGGTCATTTCCGGGGAGGAGCACCTCCCACAGGGACGTGGCTGCTGGGGAGGGGGGTCTTTAACCCTATTGCCTTGCTGTGCACAGATCTGCATCACATTTCCCTGTATCAGTCTAGTGCATTGATTTGCTATTAGCATTAACAGTCATTACAGCAGCATCTAAAGTGCCACAAAACATCTCCCCTCACTGGCCTGCTCAGAAGAGCCTGAGTATAGTCTAGAGAAGAAGAGACTGAGAGGAGACTTAAAAGCAGTCTTCAACTACCTGAAGCAGGGTTCGAAAGAGGATGGAGCTGGACTGCTTTCGGTGGTGGCAGATAACAGAAGAAGGAGCAAAGGTCTCAAGTTGAAGCAAGGGACATTTAGGTTAGATATGGGGGCATTTTCTCACTAGGAGGGTAGTAAAACACTGGAACAGGTTATCCAGAGAGGTGGTGGAAGCTCCATTTCAGGGGTTTTCAAAACCTGGATACACAAAGCCTTGGCTGGGATGACATAGCTGGGGCTGGTCCTGCTTTGAGGTGGGGGGGATTGGACTAGATGTGACGTCCTGCGGTCCCTTCAGACCATCATTTTCTATGATTGTCTGATTCTAAGTGTGTTAGTAGCTCAAGCCCTATTGACTCTAAAAGGTGCCCATGCTCTTCAGTCACTTAGGTGAGTGTGAGGCTGATCCTGCTGCTCTGTCTTCCAGCCCTTCAAGCTCCTGATTTCTTATAGGTACAACCCCTAACCCGAGATGAGTATTTGTAGCCTCTTTGGGGAGATACATTGGTGGCATCTGACATCATCGGAGTAAAAGCTCTGACCTGTTGGAGAAACCAGGCAACAAGAGCAACACCCTCTGTGGCTTGGGGGGTAGGTTGCAGCTGTGTTGGTCTAAGGACACAGACAGACAAGGTTCTTTGGGTGAATCTGATATCTTTTATTAGACCAACTCTAAGACACAGGGGAGACACGGACAGCAAAGTCCCACCGCTCATGCAGGTTTCTAACCTGTGTACAGGACCTCCACCTGACACAGGAGGTACACAGTCCCACTAGGGGGAATGCCATACTGGATCTGGTATTGGCAACGGGGGACCTACAGATCGGTAGCCATCTGGGGGACAGTGATCACCAAATAATAGAATTCACCATAAGACGTCGAGTGGGTAAGGTAACTAGTAGGGTGAAAGTGCTAGACTTTAGGAAAGCTGATCTCAATGAACTCAGGCGATTAGTCAAGGACGCACTGCAGAGTAGGAGTTTTGAAGTGATGGGAGCCCAAGAAGGGTGGCTGTGCCTTAAGGAAATGATCCTTCAGGCACAAAGCAAGACGATCCCCGAGCGAGGCAAAAGGGGGAAAGGGGCCAGGAGGCTTCCCTGGCTGACCAGAGAAATCCAGGGCAGCCTAAGGGACAAAAGGGGAGCACATAAAAAGTGGAAACAGGGAGAGATCACCAAAGACAAATATACCTCCTCTGCTCGTGCTTGTAGGGAGGAAGTTAGATGGGCCAAAGCTGCCATGGAGCTGAGGATGGCAACCCAAGTAAAAGACAACAAGAAATTG